TGCATAAACAACATCTGGCAAATGTCACAAAGTACCAAATATCTACCAACACTTTGTTCGGTATAATTCTCTACGCACAAAGTAGCGGTGATCACCGGTCTATGCGTAACGGCAGAAAGCCCGCCAGTGCTTTGTTTAAATTCATGATGATAATTTGGCGCCACGGACTTAGCTCCGGGACGCCTCTCGTTGGTCCAATAATCATTGTAGACCAAACGTTGGTGGTCAGCAATTTATTCCACTTGGACATTTCGATGGCACGAATATAGTGAAGGTTTTTTTGTAAAAACATAGTTCCAAGCATATCCATCAGTCATTAGCTCTAGACAGTTCGTGTGGGTCTGTATGGCAACCGTGGGTTGTATGTCTGTGAAGTTCCGTTGTTATACAAATACATTCGATAATTTGCGCAAAGTGATACAAGAAATAATGTCCTTTATCCTTGTAAAATAAGGATTTCCAAATATTACTTTGAGCCACTAGTAAAATAAATCACTCCCTTTTCTGAAGACATTCAATTCCGTTAATTATGTCAATTTGTAACCATACTTATTAGGGATACAAATATAAGGATAACTGTAATCACGGCGGTCCAAATGAGATACTCTTTGTTTCGGTACGATCTCGACCCTATCAATGTCTGTCCACGGAACCGAACAAAATGGAACAAGACCATCGGGAGTGCTCGGTGCCTGTGAACAATCGAATTGGCTAGTCCAAGCTTGATACTCCAAAAGTGAATGTTAAATTGCCTCCCTGATCTTATACTCGACCGGTATAAGGCCTCGGCCGATACACTTGTTGTTTTCGGTAATCTGTGGAGTCCTCTTAAGAAGGACCTCAATCCAAGCTTGAGATTTCAGGCGGAAACGGTAAGATAGCAGTGTTTTTAAATGCATTGCTACTGTTAGCCTCCTAGGAGCTCATTCGCGACACCGTAGAAGTCGATCCAATCTGTGTATCTACACTCCTGTTTTTATAAGGTAGATACACTTTAAGGCAATTGAATCATAATGTTCACGCCATTGGCTTCAACGGCATCGTAACATACTGTAGGCTGTTACACTGAGGATTTTATGCCCCAATATGAATCGGCCTGCGATTTACCAAATGTGGTTGTTGTGGCAAACACATCAGCTTCTTGTAGCTAACGGTAACAGTAAAATAAATGATGAAACCTGAATAAGCGCAATAAGCCCCAAAGTACACGATGTCCTACCATATCAGAGATGCGCCTCCAGAAGCCTCAGTATGGTCGGGGGTAGGTATCTAGGGTTGCGGTTGGTCACTCTTCTCTTGCAGCTCTCGAAACACCATACTATACAACCAAGCGTCTCGGATAGCCTCTGAAAGGAAGCCTTCCTACTCATCATCCTCTCGTGGCTGAGCACTTAGGGGAGTTGGCCAAAAGCCCTAATCCCATTCAACCGTGAGGAAGTGTACGAACCACACACACAACTCCCTGGTTGTGGCAGTGGTCACCGGATCAATTGGGCATCGGGATGTATTGGGCACCTTGGACGTTTGAAGCCGTCCGAAGAGCGTATGATCCGATGAACTAGACACCGGCTCCCAATGGATTGCGGTTTTCGCACACTGAGCGCTACCTTTCTGGTCGAGCTTTGGCTAGCCAAAGGCTCCGGTTGTGTATTCCTCAAGAAAATTCACCTGTGTTGGCCTGGGCAACATGGCATTACTCAACCCACATGCAAATCATGGAAGGGTTTTCTTTTTACACAGATTATTGTACCACGATTCGTTGGGCACGCAATCTGACATCAGACGTGTGTGGCAATATAAAATATCAATCAGAGATGCTTCTCATAGAAGATACGCTTTATTGCCTCTTCCTCGACAAACAGTCATGTATGATGCACTGTTTTCGCGTGGAAAGGGAAACTTCCATCTTGCTCGGGCGGCGATGGTCACACGATTAAATTCACGAAATTTCTCGCCGTATACATCATGTGTTTGGAACCCAATCACTGCCACCCTCACACGTTAGCAAGCCTTCGATTCATCGTTTACCACCTCCTGGAAACAGTTTTGTACTATCATGTACACAATCAAACAATTAAACAATTATTAGTAGTTGAAACATATAATTACATCGCTCACATACTATTCGGCTTCTCGAGGATTGTATTGGTAGTCACTCTTGCCAAGGATTCATTCCTTGGTACTGCACTGCAGGCTATCCATCATCCGTTTCCTATCGGACAGAATCAACAACTAAATCAATCGTGAATTGTTTTTCTCGTTTATAGTCCCTTTACGGATAGCAATATTTACGTATCTGGGAACTTATCTTGTGGACCACAAATCATAAACATGACACAATAAAAAGCTATAAACAAAATTGTCACAGCGTGCGATTTTCACGGAGAACCTTTAGTGAATATAGTGCATAGCATGCGGTTTGTTTGCAATGCGCTTAGGTATGCAACATAATGCGTACCTTTTCGATACAATTCGGACAATACACTTGGCGAGAAAAGTGTGAAGCGGTATGATCAGCTTACCGACCATCAATTGGGAAGAATTCTTGCGTTCTAATTACTGACTTGGTTTCCGAGTTCGATACCCAGTTCGGCGGACGGACTGGTACTGCTAGCGAGATCCAACAACTGTACAGTTCCTTCACTACACACATTGTTTTATCATGCACGTGACAAAGTTTGTTAACCAATCCAGCCAGACCGTCCAAATGCTTTCTGATAAAACGTATTCTAACCGAGTTTCAATAGACTGTCACGTAGATATATTGCATCTTAACACATGACCATCAGTTTTTCCAGTCTATCTTACACTTGGCCAGCCACACTATGCTTCAGTTTACCTTCCAGTAGAGGTCATCATTAGTTTTGCACACCTGGAAACAGTACCCTGGTTAGAAATTAGGACATGAACCCTGAAATGAAAAGCATTTGTGTTTTTACTGCGCTTTGGAGATCACTAGAAGTAGATGTTCCCATATGAAATGAACAGACAAATAGTTGAAGAATACTCCGAAAGCACCAGCAGTGGTCCATTGAGACGCGTGCAATGATCTCGTTTAATATCCTTTGGCTCATTGAGCTCTGCCCATCTACTCCAGCTTTGAATAGATTAGTAAAACACACTAGGGTCACTTTTCCGATCTTGTGCATCCAATCTGTCTCCCATCTTAGGACTACCAGCCTGAGACAATACTTTGGTTACGTAGGCACATTAACTCCAGATAATTTCGTTTGTTATGATAATTATTCTAAGAGTAAGGCTAAGGAAACTGATTTGTTTGAAGCCAATACAGGCATTACATATTTGTTTGTTCCTCAGAAAAGTTTTATTTTCAAAATTCGGGATCAAACCTCTGCAGACAAAATTATCAGCGGCGGCGCCCAACTATGCTTCACAAATCCTTGGTGTGGTCAGGAGTGGTTCTCCTCCTGTGTTGCTGCTCACCCTTCATTATTTGTACCTCACGAAATGCTCTCACAAGAGCACGAATTCTGACTGGCGTCTGCTGACAAAGCTCTACCCACTAATCTTATGTGGTGGAGGAATTTACCCGTCAAATTGAGATGACGGAAGACAAGCAGCCGAGGATGTAATCGGGTCAGTAAACCACTAGCAGTTTATATGGGAGTGTCGCCCAAAAGCCATGATTTCAAACTAACCAATGAAAGGCGTACAAACTCAACTCGGACAATCTTATTTCTCGCAGCTATCCACGGCTTGATGGACCTTCCACGTGTTTTACATTACACACTACAGTGCGATCGACAGCGAAGAAACACCAGCAACGGTGAAGCTGCTTACCATCAGTTAGTTGATGGTGACGGGATTCCAACCTCTAACTCTAAAGCCTGAGGTATGCCAGTGACAGATGATTAAACCACTTAATTACAACCACCCATGATATTTGACTGTGGATACCTGAATACGTGCCATCAAAACTATTTTTGGCTACCAAACACGGCCGTGCAATATTACGAATCAGACTCAGCTAGCGAAGGCTCCGGTTGAGTATCTGTCAAGAAAATCCATTTGCTTTGGTTTAGAATTATAGAATCTCCACCAGAATGAGGATTGCTTGACTGGGCAAAATTTACTGATAGAAATATCATGATGAATCAATTATTTAAAACGAACTAACTGAACGCGGAAGTTAGTTGGATCATTGGTACTATATTCTGCTCAGTCCCACCGAATTGGAGGAGAATTGATTGTGACGTATCAAATACTGCAGGACCCAAACCATCCATGTCAACAACTGCTCACGTTATCGATCAATAAACACCTTAGGGGACATCGTTTCAAGTTACTGATTCCAAAGTGTCAACTGGAATGCGAATGCCAATCTTTTGCAGTCAGAGTATACAGTACTTGGAACACCCTTCCATCTCACGTTGTCTATGCATCAACTATTGAATCTTTCAAGCGGAGACTCGAAGAAACCTTGCACAACTTTGACCTTGAACCTAATTTGTTCTTTAAAAACACACGTGATTCAAGTTCGAACACAAACAAAACTTACCAACAGCGGGGTCAGTGATGGTACTTTTGGCACGATTACAAAAATCCTCATCTTGACAACAGAATATTCTGAACAAGGGATTCTCCTTGATCAAACATGTCATGAAATAATGATTGGAATCGTTTTTGAAACAACCAAACGACTCGAACGGCACACCCGCATCCACAATGTACGAGTGAAAACAACCGGTGTTGGAGTAACAGACACTCGAATGTTCGGCTGTCTGAGTACAGTCCTCAGGCGGTTCGCAATAACAAATCAGAGGTTTGGCACCGAAGTGGTTCATCTGAAAAGAAGCTGAACGAGAAAATGAGTTGTGTCATTCAGATTGTAAACTGTCCCACCATAAATTACACAAACGTTTCCATTTGCTGTTCACGAAAACGAAGTTGCATTGCTTGCACAGTTAGTCGTGAGGTCATCAGTAACTGCAAATCGTACAAGTTGGATAAATAGTATTATTTAAAAAAATAGGATCACTTTTAAGGAAGAAAGACATTGAGCTCTCTGTGCTTTAAGGTATGCAGTTCATCTTAATCATATCATAGTGGTAGAACCAAGATTATTGGGACACGTCAACTGTCCCTCTATATTACTGCACTTGCATACTTCATTTTACTTTAATACTGGAAGCAAATGAGGTACTTTATCTGAGATTTACAGTTTTCAGGATGGTAGTGGCGCCGTGGCTTAGTCACTGTCACCGACGTGGTTTGGACCCTGTGGTCCGAGGTTCCAGCCCCGCCACCGCCACCGCCACCCAACTTTGGTAGTAGGCAGCTTTGTTCTCGTCCGGTTCAATACCATGCCTAACCTAGCGGGGCTTTACATGGTTCACCCCACTCCAAGTCCCGCGGGGCTTAGGTTACCGGTCTCCATCACTGAACGGCAGGTTATTGTGACTATGGGGTTCACCTCGTCTACTGTTCATCACACTTAGATGTGTAATAAAAAAAATAATATGTAAAGATAACCTCTATCTCTATTTATTGAATATTCCCACCGTGAGATTATGAACACACAACTATGGCTATATTTGTTCTCAAAAGCGATTCGTTCTGTCACTTCGATTACCCCGACTTGAAGCAGCCGGCCGAATTCACTATGACCTTTGGCACAGCTCAGGGACGGGGCAGGGGACGCAAACCTGACTCACTCACTCCATGGACCGTGAACACCTCCAGACCAAACAACAACAGGAACAACAAAACTCTGTCCTTTCATTTTAAAATCAATTATCACATCACAGTGGACCAATCGTGTTGGTCAAAGCAGAACATGACACTAATTTGATACTTCTGGACACCGTATTGACTTAAAGAAAAAGTTGTCGAAAACAGGCTTTGTTCGCTACTGTGTAACCTCATTCTATCTTAGCTATCATTCACCACCATATCGATCTGCCTCTTGTCACTTTATGAAATTCGATCACGTGTGACTTGATGGGCTTGTGCAGAACCCTACCTGGGAAACTCTTCGAGTTTTGCCTCTTGGATAGAAAGGCTCCGCACTAACTAACAGCCGTTTCGAGAACATTTTTTAATGAATTCCGTTGGATAAGAAAGCTTGAAGTTCTCTCTCACCTCTTCATTATCCTCATTGCATAACTGTTATTCTCCATATTCTGAGCACAGTCGGTGATCCTGACGTGAAGCGTTCGCTTTATTGTAACGCTGTACGCATTCACGATCGATTTTCCGGTTGTGCTTCGCTCAATTAAGTCAGGAGTTCCCATCACTCCAAGACAAACTAAACGTTCTGCACGTTTGCGTCCGGCAGACATTGTTGTGTTTGTTCACTCAGCTCACATCTAATTCATTCAGTACCTTTCAGTTCATTATATATATATATATCCTATTTGTCTCTTCTACTCATCGAACTTGCATTAGGCGAGTATAGGAAGACAGCTTAGGTTTTACACACGAACTGTCTAGTTTGGAACTTTTCCCAAATTCTCATCCCCTTCAAGGCCCAATTGTGTCTGCGCTCTCAGAATGGTGTATTCACTTCTGGGTGGGAGTCACTCTTCTTCTCCGGCACTTTTGGATTTTGGGTTCAGTTGCCTGTCGTTGCTGGCTCATTGCCACCATTCACTCTTTGACTATTTACCCAATGTCAAATGATCGCCTACTCATCCTGATCTCTTTCTATTCCACGAAGGTCACCGATTTCTCTCGGCAGAAGTTACGGCTCTGGCTTCTCCCCACTGACATGTGTCGGAAATTCAGAACCTCTGTACCAAGGTGCCTCAATCGGATGGTCCAATTTTGCCGGTTAAATGTTTCTTTGTCCACAAAACGCGGGATCACAAGCTCAATTCCTCACTCTGCTCTGTCCTTGACTTAAAGCTTTCCCATCCTCAAGCGCGAATTCGGCAAGTTGTTGTGGTGGGACCAATGTTGATGATAATGAGCTTGATTCTTTTAACGGGACTTTTGACTTGTCACATGTTTTTATCCTTTGGCATGGTATGTCACTGTGTCAGAATGCACAGTTCTATATAGATAGGAGAAATTCAATTAAGATTGAATAAACGATAAAGTTTGACTTCATCTTCACTTAATTCGAACTGGTTATCTTCTCAGATATTTGCTAAAAGTCAAACCCACGAGCTTTAAGTTATATAGAATGCCTTAACTGTAGCAGAAGAATCACTATTTTCAAATACCGGCTTTTCAATTTTGTGACAAAGTTTTTGATTGGATTTCTAAATAGCCATTTGGTGCACAGTGCTAACGCAATGCATCTGTCAATAAGAAATTTCAGTTTCACCATGAGCAACACTACAGCTAACATTGAAATGCGCTGAAACGCGGCGACGGCTAGTTGTTTAACCTCCCCAGGATAGCAAGATGTGGATGAGAGCGATTAAAATGACTGATTTCAGTGCCAGCTAAAAAAGATCATTGGAAACAGCATAATTTTTATTGCTCGGAAGCAAAATGCTGCATAATTCGTGGTGGTGGTGGTGGTGCTGGTCGTGGACATTCAATATAATTTGCTACCAGTGGCCTTCTATGGACCTTAGGGTTCGGGGTTCGAACCCTGTCACCGTAAAGCAACTTTGATGGCAAATAGCTTTGCTTTCCCTCGGCTCTATACCATGCATATGCTAAAGGGACCTGATGTGGTTTTCCATCACGATTCCCGGGGCTCAGGTTGCCGGTTTCCATGGCTTAACAGCAGATCCTCATGAATATGGAGTTTAAGAACACAATGTAGGCGAACATATGTTTTCGGAGGAATTCCTTTTCAAGCACTTGCAATCACATTTATACGAAACTATTTCAATAGATTCGAAAATAGAAAAGGCGAATTAGTCGTGCGCTTGTTAATGAGACTGAGAGAACTCCATGTTTGTACGCTGTTTGGTTGACGTAACCAAAAGTCGCTATGTTACGTCATGATCATGTGAACAAGTGATTTTCTCTTCGCTTGGCCAGGGGAGTTAGAGAGCTTGGATCAGTTTTCATTGGGCACACAGCTCAGGCTTCATGAGTCGCGTGCTAATGACCTCTGCGGTTGCAAACGCCCGAAACCATATTGCTCTCGAGGGGTGTGGTGTGACACGACGGATGATTGTAAATGCTGAGCGCATGTCAACCAAGTGTCCGGTCTCGACCAGATGAGCAAAGATCGAGCCTGACACAATTCCACTCTCACTCTGTGTGAGGCAGAGTGGATTGTGTTCTTTGATCCGTTGAGATAACTGCCTTGTCGTTCGACCTCCATAAGTCGCACCATTTGAATCGATAGACAACGATCGATGAGGTCAACAAAGGCAGCTTATCTTTGCTGTAGCATCGGATGTTTGATAACATGGAGAACATGCATCTTAGCTGAGCGACATTCAAGGTGAATTTCACTACGGCGGATAAAACTCTACTGACCCTGTCAGTGGAGTGGCGACATCACCTTTGAATGGAAGTTTTATAAAAAGCATTTACTTGTCCACTTTTGGTATTTTTGTTGCCTTTTGGGATTTACCTCTTCTCTTGCTCATCCCACGNATACAAAACGCTAGGGTTTACAAAAATTAAGTAACACACTTTTGCAGTTTAAACAATGTAATTTAGGAATTCGAGAAGTTTGGTCGTTTAAGGTTTCTTTCTAACAGCACCGTAAATCACTTTGTTAAGCATGAACTAACTGGGTAAAATAATCGGTGTATCCTGTGCACCACCTTTTAGGATTTTTACTCAGTGAAGTATGAAAATACTGCCATCATCATCATCATCATCATCATCAATCGCCACGTGATTCGAACCCATGCACACCATCACTTTACACCATCGAACAACGTTCGCCCTAAGGAGCACATTTGTTCCCCGGATGCGGGAAATGGCAAACAAATTAGCCGCCACCAAGCTCACCACCCGGTCAAATTTTCTCCAAAATCAGTCGGAATGCACCCGGATAAAATCGTGCACAAAGCAGATGATTTGAAATACCTTTTATTGACAGCGATTTTAAGAGGTATTTTGCGCAAGTTCACCAGTCTCCGTGGAATCTACTGGTGACTTTACTGGGACTCTTGTCCTGAAGCTTCCCACTCACCACGACCGCCTTGCTACGCGTCGGAAGAATTGCATGCATGAGTCATATAGCTTACTGCAGCTTCATTTATTATTACCACCCCGGTTTGTATCGATTATTCGTTATAGGTTCGGCACTGCAGTGCCATCCATTCGCAGATCTGGTTGATTTCCTGATGAGAAAAGAAGTAAATTTTATCCGTAACTCTCCGTGACTTACATATGATGAGTAAAGTTTTGAAGTTTTCAATGGGTGATTTACACATACACACATTCACTTCTTTCCGACTCCGAGTAATGATGTTTAATTGAGCCACTGGCTGTCATTCTGTAGGCATTTTTCCATTATATGGTACGTAAATGCATGCATGACTAGGAATATCCGAAAACAATTGTTCACTCACCGACTCGTTTTCTCATCTGATATATGCTATGGATAAAACCGATCTAAACATAGTCCTGTTTAAACCATTACAAAGTGGTGCTTCTTACCTTTGTCCAGAACCAAACAATAACCACCGCGAACAACAATCCTTTGCCCAACAACTGTTAAGAAAACCGCAGTCTCTTTTTGCAAACTGCTTTTCTTGACCAGGTAATCGATAAAAATCACTTTTCGCTCCATTCAACCAATTGTTCTTCTGATTATACGATATTAACCTTTAGTTTCAACACGGTTTTTGGACACCACTCTAAGTACGATTCCCGTACATCGCGACATTTGGTAACTGAAAGCTGACATTTAATCGCT